TTATCCTTTTTCTTTTTAACCCTATTTTTTTTAATTGTTATTTTTATGAACTATGCAGGATGTTATGCATATATGTACATACGTTGGTCAAAGACTGTAATAAGGTTTACCTACAGTACTTCCCTACCAACCTCAACAAGCTTTTATTATAAATACAGTGACCTTATGTCCTTTATTATAAAGCACAGTCCTCTATTTCAGAAAGCTGTCCTTCAGATTTATTTATTTTTCAAAAACTCGCGTTTGCCCTTTATTTTGGTCATTCGACTTTTAGCATACAGCTGGTACCACTTAATGCAGAGTCTTTCACACTCATGTGAAAAATATGGGAATTGAATTGTCTTTTTAAAATAAATGTACACATACGGTTTGATTTTAGAAATTTTATTAGAATATGCATTTTTGTAAAGTTTTTCTTGGTTTTGCTCCTGAATTTTCCTTTGCAAAGCAAGGTTATAAACCTAAACAATTCATTTTTTAATCTTTACGAACCTCTTTCAGAGTTGCCCCTTTCTTCAGGTTTGTCCTTTCTTTTATCCACGAAAATACGATCACCGTGATTATAAATCGAATAAACAAGCTGATCTCCAAGATCACCTGCACGGCCCTTTGCTAACCCGCAGTGATGTTACACAACTTAGCCATTTCCTCTATGGCTGCGACTGATTTCTGTTCCCCTGTGAGTCTCACCCTCGGAGTAAAAGACAGAGGCGTCAGGCTGCAGCGTGGCAATCCTGCTCAGAACAAAGCAAAGCAGCGAAGCCAGCGACGCTTCTCCCCCCAACACAGCAGCAATTAAAAATAACGAAAAAGCCCCGATTTTGCATTCACGGGGTAGCGTCACTGCGGAGAGCACAGTCAAGCATTGCAGGCGGAAGGCTCCGCCCCTCGCCCCGCCCTCGAACTCAGGAGAGCCACTAAGCGAGGTTCGCGCGTCCAGCCAATGAGAGGAGGGAGGGAATTCGGGTCGTGGCGCGGAGTCCCAGCAGGCCTTGCGGAGCGCCAGGCGCCCGGGAGGTGGAGCGGCCGGCGCGGGTCTGCGGGCGGGCGGCGTCCGTCGGCATCGTGGCGGCGGGGCGTGCCTAGGGCTCGGCGGGCAGGCGAGGCGTCGGGGCGGACGGGCGGGCGGTTAGGGAAGGGCGGGGGCCGGGCTTTTCCAAAGAACTCGTTTGCGCGGGAGGCCCGTTCAGCCCGGCGGCTCTTTCCCGAAGTCGGCGCGAGGCTCCGGCTGTCTGGGAGAAAGCGCTGGAACAGCCGGGGAAGCTCCGCCCGCGTCGGCTGTCCCAATGTGCGGGACTCCCCCTCCCGTCCCATCCAGGCTTGGGAGTCAGGCGCTTCCAGTTTGGGGAGAGGCTGTCGGGGCCCTCTGGCTGGGGATGATGGGAGTGGTAGTCCCAGCGCCTTGGGAGAGCCCCAGGTTGAGCCCAGATCTGGGATGGAGAGCAAGTGAGGATTGCTGGGAGCTTGTTTTCCCGTGGTCGGGGCTGGTAGGTGGCCATGCTGTCCCCGGACGTGCACCATGAAGTTTGGGGGTGCGGCGTTGTGCGTGGCATTTAGAAAGGGCAGAAGATGGGCTCTTTGGTAGTTTATTTTACTGCAAAGCACCAAATGGGTATGGGGTGGCGGGCGTGCCTAGGTTTCAGTGCCCGGTGGCTGGGCGACAGAACACGTGCTTCTGGTGCAATTCCCACGCAGGAAAGATTCTTGTCTGTAACCCTGAAGACGCACTGAATAGCCTTCCCCCGAACACCAGATCCTCAACGAGCACAGCCTTTGGGATGGGAGTTGTTGTCCAGCCGATGATCTGCAGGGTGGGGCTGCCGACATTGGGGTGAAAGCAACCCTGGGAGTGGTCTGACTCCTCTCTGATGTGCTTTCCAGGCAGTCGCCAGGAGTCAACACTGACTGGAAGGCGCACACTTTTATGAATGCCTCGACTTCATTGTTATAGAGAATTTGATTTTTTTTTTCTTGGTTTCGTTTTTTACCCTAACTTTACAGGTGATGCTCAGGCATGGAAGAATGGGCTCTTCCAGCTTCCTCTGGGGAATTCTGCTTGCTTTATGTTTATCCTTGTGGTGGTTCGGTGTCTTTTGTGTACAGCTAGTGAGATATGTGTATCAAGAACTACAGAGTGTACGTAACTGTTACAGGTGGGTTGATAAAATTCCTGCTAACAGACCTGGAATAAGGAAGGGAGAAAGTCATGGTCTGTCTTAACCATATCAGTGTTGTATATCTGGAAGGTGTGTTTCGAAAAGACCGATATGGCAAGAATGTCCTCCCTGTAGGTTTCCCGGTATTTGGTCTCTAGGTTGAGAGAGAGGGCAGCTTGTGAAAAATGTCCAAGAATAAAGCTTCTCTTGGGGGTTTGGTTTGTATTCCACCCTGAGGCCTCAAGGTCTCATTATCATTGAAGTCAGCATCTTTGGACTATATTATTAGAACCATAAGATCATTCATTATTGTCGAAGTCAGCATTCTCTGCGTATATTATGACCACATAAGAAAGTGATGGGATCTGGGATCAGAACAGTTAGATCGAAACTCAGATCAAACTGAAGAGCTGGAAGTGTTCATTTTGAAAATAAAATAGTTATGAAGAAGATATAAACATGTCTTTGTGTTTAAAGTGTCGTGTTTAAAACATTAAAAATAATTGTGAACTTGCAATTGATGGCAGAGAAGTGAAGGTGGTTGATGGCTTCATGTTCTTGGGCTCAGGAGTAGATAAAGATGGACAGGGAGCTGGAGAAGTGAAAAGCTTAAAAGGGAAGAGATGGCAAAGTTATGAAGGATAAAGATGTTCCAATGAGAACAAGTATCGGAATAGTTAAAGCATAGGCTTTTCAAGGTGTAATAGATGAGTGTGGAAGATGAGTACTAAGAAAGAAGATCAGCACTTTCAAATTATGGACTGAAAAATAGTTACTGACAGTAGCATGGATGGCAAGCAAAACTAATCAGTTAAACCCAACTGTTCTCGGGGTGATGATCTGCAGTATCTGTAAGATGATGGTCATACTTTGGGTGTGGGATATGACAAGTTGAACTAAGAGAAATGATTATGCTCAGCAAGGTTGAAAGAAGTGGAAAAAATGGATAAGGTTGATAGACAGGATCAAGAATTGTTGCAGTATCTTTGGAAGAACTACAAGTAAGAGTAACATTCAGGTCAAAATGGCAAGTATTTGTTTATGCCAGTGGTTCTCAACCTTGGGAACTTTAAGAGGTGTGGACTTCAACTCTGGCTGGCTGGGGAATTCTGGGATTTGAAGTCCATACCTCTTAAATTTCCCAAGGTTGAGAAACACTGGTCTATGCAGTCAGTATGAGTTGAGCCCAGCTTGGTGGCATCTAACTACAATGTGGTTTCTTTAATATATGTTCTTCATATACACAGACATTGGTGAATGGAAATTGTAATCCAGAGATGCTCAAGGAGACTGGTTTGGGGAATTCTCACATCCACCTGGATCACACATCACAGTGTGTTGATACACAATTCATTGCTTTCAAACAACACAATATGCCAAAACCAGACTAACTGTGTTATAGCTTACCACTATACGAACCCAGTCATACAACACATAGAACCACAAACTAGCTAAGACTCAGATCCAAGCTATCGTCTGTGTTGTGTTACCCAGAAAATTGGGTTAATTAAATACAACCATGGTGTAAGTGTGCCTCTGATCAATGAGAATGTTTGATATGTGCAGGTGGAGGATCAATTGATTTTAATTCTGTTCAGTTACAGAATATGGGGGGTTGTACAGATTTTTTATACAGATGTGTCTCACAACCACCCATTTGTGGGAGAGGCAGTCTTCAGGATTACCTTGATGTAGCCTTGGCAACCTTAATTTAACAAGATTGGGGAGCTCAGGGTTGCACAAGATTTTTTCTTATATACCCTTTGCTTTGTGAAAGATTTTTAATTCCAGGTTGTCTTTTTTGGTAACTACAGTAGGCTTTTTAATAACTACCACCAATTCACCGAAAACAGTCTTGACAGGGAAGGTGCTGGCAATGCATACCTCAGTTTCCTTTGTTACACAAGAGATTCTGCAAAGTTAGGTCGCCCTTGAAGGTGCGTGAAATTAAACTGATTTTTCTTGTGACCGAAAGGAACAGACTTCAGAAGCACTATATTGACTGTAAATTGGAGGGTTTGGCTTATAGTTCAGTGGTTGAGCACTGTCTTTCCCAACTGCAGACCTTCCGGTTGAGTGATCTTCAGCTCCCAGAATCCTGCAACTTGGCTGTTTCAGAAATTGAGGAAGCCTGTTCTGGTTCCAACCCAGCCGGACAAAGACCAGATTATGAAGCTGCTGTTGAGAGTTGGAAAGAATTCCAGAAGCTTCCCAACTTCGTTTTTTACTCCAGTTGTTGGGCAGGTTAAAAATAAGATGATAATTACACAAAGACCTCCCATACAGACCACAAAGATACTCTTAGAAAATAAACAAGAGTAGCTGTTACCCCAGTGCTGAAATTCACATATTGTATAAACCGATGTGAATTCTGCCCTGTTGTGTGAACTGATATAAATTATGCCTTATTGTGTGAACCGATGTGATTCATGCCACAATGCCAGAGATATGCACAGAAAGTGCAGAGTTTGGAGGTCCTCCTGGTCTCGTAGCTTTTGCTCCTTGTTTTTGGTTGATGTTGTAAAGATTTTATTATAATATTGTTTTGGTTTTCTTTAACTTGATGTCCACTACTCGGAGTTATCATTACGTGAGTTGGGCAGCTACATCCATCTTCTTAATCAGTGTTTATCAACCTTGGTAATTTTAAGATGTGTGGACTTCAACTCCTGGCTGGCTGGGGAATTCTGGGAGTTGAAGTCCACACATCTTAAAGTTACCACGGTTGAGAAACATTGATGTAAAGGCGCTAACATACTGAAACATTGTAAAATTAAAATCTGGTAGGCAGGAAGGAAGGGTGGGCTTTTTCAGTGTGTATCTGATATTTTGCCAGTACTTATTTGCTACAGGTTCAGAGCTATGACTAGCTCTGAACCAAGCCTGTCCCCCAGCCTATTATGAGCTTAGTGCTTCCTGGTCTGCAGAGTTCAAAGCATGAACTATAACCAGAACGCAAACTTCAAAATCCGTTAAATGAAGGGGGGTGGCTACTTTGAATCCCTCTTCGCCCACGTTGGCCGGTACTTCTCATGAGCCGGCTAAGGGCTGGGGGGCAAAAAGATGGGGAAACCTACAGCTGGGGTTACCATTTGCAACCGTGACTTCGGTATACACTAACCCCAACATGGCAATGGCTGCAGCGTGGGGCCATGGTCTCTGTTTCTGCTGTCTGGACTTTGGTCTTTCCTCTTCCTGGCCGGTCAGATGTTCTTTGATTTCAGTCTGCAACTGCTGGAAACTCATGCCTTTCCTTCTCCCCCAGCAGTTCAGGACCTGCCTCAGAAAGTTCTGCTTTCTGCCCTAAGCGTCCCTCACTTCAGCCCTATCAATATTCTAAAGGCAAGCTTTTCAATGTGTTGTTCACATTCCTCCCCCTGGAGACATTCAGGCATTGCTAGCATTTCATGCGCATGGCTCCTAGTCTTTCTCTTTGTCTGTTTAGTGCCTCTGCCTTACATCTCAGGCATCTTCCATTGCGTGCCACTCTTCCTGGCCAAATCAGTCCTCTCTTGCGATGCTCCCGTTGTCTGTCCTGTGTGGAAGCGCTTGGATTCCAAATAAAGCGTGTACCTTGAATGTTCCTGCATCGAGTAAGCGGATTCATCACTCATGCTGCATGCAAAGAGTTTGTTATCTCTAGAGGCAAAATTTGGACGGTTCGAATGGGGTAAGTGATGTTGTTAGTGCTGAATAGTCTATGCTGTTGATCACGAATAAGACCAGAAGTAGACATGTCCCCTCAAGAAGCTTACAGCTATCACCAACTGCAGGGACTGACAACCAAAGTGCTTACTGAGAAGTAAGTCCAGTTGATCTAAGTGGGGCTTCTTGGCTTGTAAGCATGGCTTGGATTGCATCCTGAACCTTATGTCCAAGACAGATTTCCTTGTTCTCTGTTTTCTCTTCTGCTCAGATGGGACACCTCTTTCCTGAGAGTCACCTATGCCGCATCTTGTTCTTTGGAAATACGGTGTTATGGGATCCTGCCTGACTTAAACATGTTGTCTTCCAGAAAGGTAATTCTATTTCTCCTAAGGTGGTAGAATAGAGCCGTGACTGGGTTCACACATTTCATTAAGCCATAATATGTTGTGCTCAACTTTGGGTTGGTGCTATTCAGTCATTGTGACTTATCTAACAAACGATGGGTAAAATAAATCATGGCTTAGGGTGATGTTGAGCTTAAACACTATGTTTGAAAGTTGGATCAGAGTTCTTTTATGGTGCAAGAAATTGAATGGGTTCTAGCAAGAGCAGAACTGGATTAGTGCACTCCTAGAATGCCAGGCCATTTGTGGTCCACCTCAACTAACCTATGGGGGTCAAGCAAGGATACAAGAGCTCCCTGTCCAGCCCTCCCAGGGAAGGCATCTAAGCAAGTGATTTGAGAAACATTTTCAACCTGCAGACAATATTTTACTCCAGGCTAGTCTTCCTTTCCACCAGAAACCAGAGCAGGTTCAGTTAGAAGTTTTGAAGCAGGAAGTAACGTGGCTGAGATTTGGCAGCAAGTTCCTCCTACAAAGGCGTGCCTTTACTTCCCATGTATAGGCACGTAAGAAAAGGAGGTATATTAGAAGGAATAAGACACAGCAATGAGAGCACTGCTGGTTTCTGGATCCTGTGCTACAGTCTTCAGTCCTACATGTGATCATAGATAATAGGAAGGGCTGGGAAGATGTATTCTCTGGAACTCAGCAGAAGTCTTCTCCAACCTGATGCACTGGCATTGCAGGTCCCACCTTCTCTGGCTCATATAGCCAAAAACACATCCCAAATACGGGGTAGAAGTAGACCTCTGGGTTTGGAAGACACCACATTGGGGAAGGCTGGCATTCTTTTATTCTGAATATGCTTTATTTTTTTCCCCTCTTGGGCAGGGTTCCTCCTCCAGATGGCACTGTAATCCCAAGATTGCTTCGCATGAAGAACAGAAATGCTGTTAAGAGAAGAATATTTCAGTAGGTCTTTTTAAGATGCAAAACCTTGTACTCTTGATTATTATGCAGGACTTTTTGTATGTGTTTTTTTTTTAAACTGCAGCTAGAAAATGTTTTCTGGTTGGTTGGTTGGTTGGTTGGTTGGTTGGTTGGTTGGTTGGTTGGTTGGTTGGTTGGTTG